TTTTCTTTCTAGTTAGTGTTACTCCGCCGCTACCGTCTGTTCCTCCGCGACGGATATTAGACTGGTTAGTATGAAACATAATCACGGTAAACTCTAGCGGTAGCTCCCTAAGCGCAGTCCCTTATAACTGCTAAGGGCTGAGAAATCTGTTAAACGATTATACATTCACCTGTCGTACAGAAGAAGAAAGATAAAGTAGAGGAACTACTATACAAGATACCCTCCTCTTATATGCTCTATTTGCTCGCTAAATCGTACGCCTAGCTTCGATACACATGATTTCTTAGTACGGTCTGATCGTGCGCTTAGCTCTTGTTCACACGACCTTTGGTAAAAGGTAGGGTGTAGCCCATTATAACTACCATGACAGCTCGCTATGTAACTATTTATTACACGGGGTCTACGCGAGGTAGGGGTATACTTGCCTAATCTCGGTCCGGGTTAGGGCGAGATAGTAATAAAGTAAACCGTGCAGAGTTGTCTGGCGATTCGTAGTGGAAAAGTGTTATCGGAGTTAATCAAAGGTTTTGACAATCCCCTTCTATTGTAAATAGAATAACTAAGAATTAATCTGTGTAAGAGAAGAACTTATTGTCAGGCGCTGGGCTGACTATGTATACTATCCTGTGCAGAGCATCAGCAGAACGCTGATCACTCGTACCTTTTTGGTTGTTGTGGCCCAGTGGCACAGGGCTGAGCTTCTAACGAGTGTAATAATAAAATCCAACCCTTTCTTATACCCATTGCTTCCGGGCCTGGCATTAGGCATTCCTCCTGGAGTCACTGACTCCAAGCCCTTCCTGTGAGGCCATGCCCTCAAATTGACAGGGTGGCATTACTAATGCTATGGTCTTGGCGTGATGTAAATCACGTGATCGCCACCCCGCGGTGATTGTAAGGGGCTCGACTCCGTAGAGTAGTCTTAAGCTCGGAAGCACGATCGGACTGGCCAAAGAACAAGATTGTATTGGATAGAGCTAGAATCTGGGCTACGTAGCTATATATATATACATGCAGGGACAGGGAGTTGCCTAAGCAACTATCAGACCAATCGGAATAGGCAGGCGGAAACGAGGTCGAAGACGAGCAGAAGGGCGAAGGACGTTCAGCCCGTTACAGTGATCATTACCCTTTGACGTGGCGCCCAATGGTCCTCTACCTGCGGCCTTCGTCTTGGAGAGATCCTTCGTTGTTACTCGTAACACTATTCTAATAGTTAGTACATAGTCTCATCTGTTGTATTAACTATAGTTACCATAGTAGTGTATGTTAGGGTATGCAAGTGTCGCAGGCTGCCTTGATGCATTGAGAGATTACGTCAGGAGTGTTGTTGGGGCTCGGGTTTGGTATCCCAATCTGCTCACACCAGCCAATGCAAGGACCTAATTTTGTATTGAAATTTGGGTTACAAGCTGCAAAGGTGGCTGGTATTATTATTGTAAGGACCAGAAAGGGATTCATGTTAAAAGCAGATCTTGTTCGTTTGCGTTAAAAATTAAGTCTTTAAATGCTGTTAACAAAAGTATTAGTTATCGTAGGGTATGCAGAGTTATTAAATACTTGTAAATACCCTGTCTTCCGCAGGTTATAAGGGTTGCATAAAGGTGGCACACACTACTATTAGTGCTTATGCACATTTACGTGTAGTCTTATCTATACTTATTAACTTATACAGACGACGTCAGGCATATAAGCAGCTAGCGCATAGGCTACTCAGCACTAACGTGTTCCGGTAGTAAGCTACACATCCTATCAAACCTAACGTGACTCTGTCCACGCCAATAGCCATGACATGACAACGACCTTCTAAATCAACTTCCAGTGAAGGTAACTGAGCCAGTGGTACGATATGGGGCTATGCTTAGGGAGCTATCGCCAGAGTTTACCGTGATTATGTTTCATACTAACCAGTCTAATATCCGTCGCGGAGGAACAGACGGTAGCGGCGGAGTAACACTAACTAGAAAGAAAA